AATCTATATACCACGAGATCGTTATCTTAATGAAGAAGCAGAGAAGAAGGTCTGATTGTTGCCATTTAACTGAATGACGCAATTCTTTTCCTACATAAATTCACACAATGCACTGGTTACTGACCTCATTCCTCTCTTTTTACCCTAGGCAATGGCTGAAAAAATAGAGCGGATGGAACTTGATTCTGAATCCAAAGACAAGGTATTTCCATGAAGATTGCATTCCTTTCTTTGTAAGTATTATCAGACTACAGCGTAGGAACTAATATAATTGTTATGTGGTGGTGACCTAAGCGCAGCAACTGATGGAGCTTCAGGAACTTTACAGTTCTCAGCAACTTTTGACTGTAGACTTGAGTGATAAACTTGAAAAAACTGAGGTAATACATTTGGGAAATCAAATTACATAGTCTCCCATTGTTCTTTCTGCTTTCATCCTGATAAAATTCAACACTTTATACTTCAGAAAAAGCTTGAGGAAACTGGAAATGCACTGTTTGATCTCGAGGAAAAACATCGACAGGCAAATGCAACCATTAAAGAGAAGGAATTTCTGATTGCAAACCTCCTCAGATCGGGTGAGCAAAGTGTCTGCTACAACGAATTTTGTCGTACATTCTACATATTCAGATCAGATATTGATACTTGCCATTTCATTTTACCTTCAGTTTATATAGTTGACATTTGATGGATCAAATAGCTTTTCCTAAGGACTTCCATTTTTAACTTGTTCGTCTTCTAGTTTGTGCACACGTAGAGTCTCATGCTTTCCAGATGGTACAATTTGATGCCTCTGAATCTTCCTTACAATAATATGCACTGTTAACTTTCAGAGAAATCACTGGTTGAGCGTGCATTTGAGCTTCGAGGAGAGCTAGAGAATGCTGCATCAGATGTGTCCAGTTTATTTGCCAAGATTGGTTTGTCTCATTATTTTGGATATTTTTATTGGGTCTTCCTCAAAACTTCTGGTGCTTTATTGCTAACCATGGCTGGTTTTCCAGAGCGCAAGGATAAAATTGAAGATGGAAATCGGATACTAGTTCAGAAATTCCAGTCCGAATTAACTCAACAGCTTGAAATCTTGCATAAGACTGTCGCAGTTGCAGTGACACAACAGGAGCAGCAATTAAAAGGTATGGAGGAGGATATGCAGTCCTTTGTATCAACCAAGGCAGAGGTAAGATCTAGACAAGAAGATGATTGTCTTTGAGCATTCTTGACATTTGATTGTCAGTCTATAACTCCGTACAACCTAATTATTTGCCATGCTTTTGAAGGCTACTGAAGAACTTCGAGGAAGACTAGGAAAGCTTAAAAATATGTATGGTTCTGGTATTAAAGCTCTGGATGGTATAGCTGGGGACCTTGAAGGAAATTCTCAGTCAACTTTTTGTCATCTAAATTCGGAAGTTTCTAGCCATTCTTCTGCTCTGGAAGATGTAAGTATTAGTTCACTGTTTTTCAGTCTTCACTGTTCTTTTACTATTTCTGTACTTAACTTTGTTCATATGATTTAGCTCTTCAAAGGAATTGCTTCAGAAGCTGATGAATTGCTCAATGATCTTCAAGGTAATCTTCACAACCAAGCAGAGAAGCTAAGTGCATATGCACAACAACAGCGTGAGGTTCGTAATATATTGTTGCTTTCATGGTTATTTGTTTTATTTTCTTCAAGAGTAAAATTCAAAAATCACTTTTTGGAGTAAAAAATTTGGTCTTCAATTTTGTACAGGCTCATGCCAGAGCAGTTGAAACTGCACGGTCAACTTCTAAAGTTACTGTGGACTTCTTCAAGACTCTAGACTTGCATGCATCCAATCTGACCCATATCGTGGAAGAAGCACAAACTGTCAACAATAAGAAATTGTCTGAACTTGAAGAGAAGTTTGAGGTGGTTGCAGTGTACTTTCTAAATTAAATGGGCCATTAACAACCTTATTAACAAAATTTAATGCTTTTTTTTTAAAATTTATATGTAGGAGTGTGCTGCTAATGAAGAAAGGCAGCTGCTAGAAAAGGTGGCAGATTTGCTGGCAAGTTCAAACGCTAGGAAGAAAAAACTGGTATGTCTTGTTCTTAAGCTGCAGCCAATTACTTATTCCTTGTTCCTAAGGTTTTAGGTCAGTAACAACTTTTTTATTTAGGCTCAATTAGTAACATTCTTTATCTATTAAATAGGTCCAAACAGCAGTAAATGATCTTCGAGAGAGTACAACAAGCAGAACCAGCAAACTACAGCAAGAAATGTCAACCATGCAAGATTCAACATCTTCTATCAAAGCAAAATGGACAGTTCACATGGAAAAAACAGAATCCCATTACCTTGAAGATACATTTGCTGTGGAAAGTGGAAAGAAAGACATGGAAGAGGTTCTACAGAATTGGTACATATTCTGGATATTAGGAATTTAAACTTTGATCTGGCCATGATTCTGCTACCTGAATTTTTCTAGCCCATTACTTACACAAAAACAACTTGTGCAGTTTGAAGCAGGCAACAATGGGTGCAGAACAATGGAAGAATGCTCAGGGTTCCTTGCTCAGTCTAGAAAAGAGTAATGTTGCTTCTGTGGACTCCATTGTTAGGTATGCTCATTCCTTATAAGAAAGAAATATTGCAGGTTTTAATTGAAGATTATTCATTCAATTTTTTTCTCTTCAACTAGGAGGGGAACAGAAGCCAATCAAGCTCTACGTGATAGGTTTTCCTCTGCTGTATCAGCTGCACTAGAAGATGTAGACGCCGCAGACAAGAATCTCCTGTCTTCTATTGATCGTGAGTGTCAAGTTTCACATATTGATTTCACATTTGTCTTGCTAGGTTATATATTGGATTGTGTGTTAACTGAAACAAATACTTGCAGATTCATTACAACTTGACCATGAGGCATGTGGAAATCTTAACTCAATGATCGTTCCATGTTGTGGGGATTTAAGGGAACTGAAGGGAGGTCACTACCACAATATTGTCGAGATCACAGAGAATGCAGGAAAATTTCTTCTGGATGAATATGTGGTGAGACTGCTAGAGTGCTTTTGTACTATATATGTGTTTTTTATTCGATGACATTATGTTCTTTAATGAGTTCTTCGATTCTGCAACACTCAGGTGGACGAACCATCATGTTCCACGCCAAGAAAGAGGTCGTTCATTCTTCCAAGCATTGCATCCATTGAAGAACTCAGAACTCCTGCCTTTGAAGAATTGTTGAGATCATTCTGGGATGGAAGATCTGCAAAGCAGCAGGCAAATGGAGACTTAAAACACATCGCAGCGGCGTACGAGGCTGCCCAGTCCATTAGAGACTCCAGAGTTCCTCTCACTGCTATTAACTGAAGAGAGGGGAATCAAAGATTTAGAGGACAGAGAACACGTGTGTACATAACATGTATGGCGTATATATGTACTCTTGTAGTCACTGTGCTACGCTACCGTATTCGTTAATTGTTTCTGGAGACAGTGGATGAAAAATGATTGTGGATGGAGAAATCTATATAGTTAGGCCTCCTGGGGAAACTTCAAAACTTGAGTTCATTGAATTTCCCACTTTGTAACGAACTGCAATTGGATTATTGATGAGGAGTTACTGAGTGTTTTGGTTTGAGTGCTTTCGAAGCTTCTTCTTTACAGCCATAGTTCTTGTCAATCATGATACCTTCGATTCCAAAAGGATGCATCCAGCAGATTTATTATTTTTGTGTGGATTAGATTAATTAGAATAATTAGGCTATCAGTTGTATTTAAAAATAAAAATACCTTCTATAAATTATCACAAAGTCAATAACCTTAAACAGAGATCGAAACAGAAAACCAATCTATTCTGGTGCGAGTGAAAACCAATCTATTCATTAAACTAATATGACTCGCATATCATTCAGACCAAAAGCCACACTTTTTTGGGCGGACGGAATTAAGAACGGCGGTGAGGATACACTTTGGGTTAAAGTGGTTAAAGTGGTGAGAAAAATATTTCCAAAAAAAAAAAGCTCATAAAATATCAAGTTTAGGAACTAATGTTGAAAAATAAAAGATTATAACCAGAACAATGAAAAAACAATAGGAAAGGCTGAGAGACTTCAACTTGATTCTTGTCCTTGATAGACTTTAATGAAAAATTACATCTTAAATAGAAACACCAAAGTTACTGCCGCAAGTACCTCACCCACAACTTTAAGGCCTCGTTTGGTTCGCAGAATGGATTTGAGGGGAAATCATTTCCCATGTCAATTCCCAAAGAATGGGAATGAAAGATTCATTTCTCACGTTTGGTAATGTCAAGAAAGTAACCGGGAGATTTCACTTTGTTTCCTTTCCCATGTTTGTTTTAAGTAGGAATGGAAAAAAAGTTTGTATAATTTTCCAATTATACCCATATTAAATCAAATTAAAAAATAATGCATTTAATGATACGTTGTAATTATAAATTGTTCATAAGGACAAAATAGTCATGAAAATTGTGCATTGAATGTTGGCTCATTTTCCCAAACTTTCTCATGAGTAGGAAAAACAAAACCCAAGTTAAGAGGATGGCTTCACTTTCCCCCTACTTTCTCATGTGCCAAGCAACTATTTCTCATGCCTGAACTTATCAAACATGGAAAAACAATTGAATTCCCATTCCCAAACCTCCTTTCCTATGAACCAAATGGAGCCTAAGATTTTGTGGAACTACATCCCACGATTAAAAGCATGAAGAAAGACAAACTAACCATGACTCCTATAAACTAGGGATTCTTCTATAAACTAGGTAATACCAGTCTTCTATCTACGAGAGGTACGAAACTTTTTATCGAAGTTTATAAAAAGGAAAGTTTTTGTGGAATTCATGATAACACGGACTTGAGCTTTCTCGAGGAAACCAGTTGGAGGGAGGTTTGAGCGCCCTTTTACTCAGAGATGCTGAAGATGATGATACGGACTACAACTGCTGCTACTTCTACTGGATGGCCTGTGTAAAAACCGAAAACTTTCTACCGCAATCCAACTGTTTAAAGAGATGGAAGGCAAGAAGTTGGATGTAAATATTGTGATTTACACTATTCTTATTGAAGGTTTGTGCATAGCTGAAAAAATTGAATCTGCAAGGGAACTCTTTTGTGGTTTATCATCAAGAGGGCTTCAACCGGATGTAAGGACATATACCATAATGATTAATGGACTCTGTATTGGGGGCCGAACAAGTGAAGCAGAAAAGCTGCTTACTGAAATGGAAGAGAAAGGTTGTCCTCCAAATGATTGTACGTATAACATAATTATTCGAGGGTTTGTCAATAACAATGAGACAGTAAGGGCGATGGAACTTATTCAACAAATGGTGGAGAAGGGTTTCTCAGCAGATGCATGGACTACAGAATTGATAGTTGAACTATTGGGTAAAGATAAAGTAGATCCTGCATTGTTGCCATTGATGCAAAAAGAGAATTATGAACTGAATTTGCCTCAGTTAAAGTTGAACAGATCTTCTGACCATCCCAATAAACATTGAAGCTCTTCCACCTCTGGCAACCACCTCTGGCAACCGTGGATGTGTTATATCTGTTATCTCTTAATCCATCATGTGACAATGTCGAGTAGTAGATATAACTTTTCTGATAATCGTAACATCTTTGAAACAATTGGCTTGTTTTTTTGTACGCAGGTCTTTTTTAGTTTCTTCACACAAACATTGTGCAATTGACTGACTCTGCATGTTTTTGTTATTTTGCGGTATACAGACTTGGTTATATAAAGACATCATTGGGGGATATCCTGTGATCATGATAGAGAAATTTCAATGTTACTCTTTTGAGGTTGTTAAATTTGTTAGGGAGAAGCAGGGTATTTGGACTGATATAATCAGATTTTTCAGCTGACCAAGACTATGCAGTTTCGGCAAAAACCAACCGGCCTTTGATTAAGGGGCCTTCTACAACTTCTTTTCAATTTTTTTGATTTGTAATAATTTTGTGAAGGACATGGTGAAATTTGCTAACCCTTGATTGGGTCTGAATGCTCGTTTGGGAGTGATTTAAGATGGGGCAAAATCATTTATGAGTAGAAGCACCTCAAACGTGCTTATTGAAGTGATTATACGGAGAGCTGCGTATAGATATCCACCTGTATCAACGCCCACCATGATGAGCCTCAAACAAGACTAAATTTCTATTCTACATTTCTATTGATAACATGGAAAGACAAAAGTCAAAAGAAATTAGGGTTACATCTTCTATTGATGTAACTGTTAAGCTCAAGATCCCTATTTCAGATTACTTCTTACAAAGGAGAAAAGACATCTTTGTATGACAATGAACTTTCAACTTATATTCTTTTTTCTTCATTTGTGTTCTTTAATTAAGTCAAAAAGAGAATGTGAGGTGCTGCCTCATTTTTTTCACTCCTTTCGCATAAAGATTAAAACAACTTTAGAGAATTCTTTTGTTTTTTCTTTAACATTTTAGTTTTTTTATGTATTGCTTTTGCTTTCTGTTTTAACTTCTCTCATCTTCATCGTTCATTTTTCCCATATCTTTCTCTTTATGCGGTTAACTAAAGAAAATTGAAAACCAATAATAACAATGTGCTACCGGAGAAGCTTGGTAGCTAAATGACTTGTGCTTATGCTATTTATAGTGGCCCAACTCAGCCCAATTGGGCCTTTATCATCAACTTGGGGCTTAGCCTGAGAACCCATAATTTTTTTTGAGTAACAATTAACCCGAAATTTAGTATCTTTTTCAGTTAGTATTTTATGTATTAATGAAATACAATACGGAGTGGGTTCTATAAAGGTGTCCTTCAAATAAAGGATTCTTTAACTAAAGCTCTCTCTCTCTCTATATATATATATATATATATATATCCTGAAAGTATTTTATGTACAGTACAGTATTGTACATAAATTGTAGCTATAGTTTATAAATCCTGAAGAGAAGTTGAGTAAATAAATTAATCTAATTATATAAAAAGAATCATAAGTTCCTAAATCCGAAAAAAAAAAAATACCACATCAAAATAGGTGTGAAATAATTTCATTGATCATACTTTGTTGGGCCTAGGCCTCCTTTTAACTCTACGCGCTTAATACTTCATAAAATGTTCATTGTTTTCGTAGTCGCTTAATTCAATTATATGTAATTGAAAAGAAAAGAAAAACTTAAACATTTAAAGGAAAGTAATTGACTAATGCTAAGTAGTAAATTAATAAATCTTGTTGGCCTCTTTTTTCAATAAATAATAAATCTTGTTAGTATATATATATATATATATATAATTGTAAAAAATAAATAATAATAAAGTTTTTAAAAAAATGCAATACATAATTCAAATTTAGCATGGGCCCATATCAGCCCCTTTAGTGGCCTAGCATGAGGACGGTCCGATCCCATATGGGCTTGGAATGTGGGCTAGGAACATAATTGATTATTTTCATAAATGAACGAATCTGGTATGGCCCGTTTATGAAATAGACTGACTCTAAATAAGTAGAGTTGGACCGACACGATCCGTTTGACAACTCTACAAAAATTGCATTAGCAAACGATAACTTTTTTAGTTGTTGATGCTAAGTGCTTATGTTTTTTCTTTTAATCACCTGCTATGCGAGTTTGGCAAAAGTGACATAAAATGCATTAGCAATCATATTTAAGTAGATTTCTATCGTTCTAGGAAAAAAAAAAAACATATTGAAGTAGACGAGAGAGTAATTTAGCTGCAGCTGTAAGTGCATTTTTAAAGTGTATTTTTTTTTTTTTTTTTTTTTTTTTTTTTGTTTTTTTTTTTGTAATTTGTCTTATTTTGTTTGAGGGAATTTATTTTTTGCGTTTCTTGCACATATACTATAGGTTTTTTTTCTTTTCTTTTAATCACATATTATGCAAGTTCTAGATATGAGTGAGACCTATACTTTTGATATACACAATTTTGTACCTTGAATAAGCCTTTAAGAAAAATAAAAATAATAATAATAATAAGAACAATAGTTTATGTTAGACACAAAAATAAAAACAAATTGTCATTTGTATCACAATTTCAGCAGAAATTAACCAAGAATGATAAAAAGAAAAAATTATAATGAAATCTCTGGCCTTAGAATGAGAAGGCCGAGTGAATTTCAATATGCTATGCTAGCAGCTAAAAAAGAACCGAACTGCAACCCTAACTTACAAAAACATATTAGTTCAAGGAAACTAGTTGGAGGGAGGTTTGAGCTTCATTCCCAACCCTCTTTGCTCTCTTTCACTCACCGATGCTGAAGATGATGACACGGACTACAACTGCTGCTACTTCTTCTTCTTGTTATTGCTGGAGCAGCAGAGGTATGAATTGTCTTCACTCTAACTCCACTTTTCTCGTTTTCGTCAACAATTACTTTGCTTTCTTTCACTCTCAACCTTCGAAACCGATCAAATCTACAAGAACCCAACTAGAGCAGCCAAAAAGAGGCTTACCCAAAATCACAAATGTTGAGGATGCCTTCAATGTGTTCGATAGAATGCTTCAAATGCGACCTCTGCCCTCTGTTGTCCGTTTCAATAAAATCTTGGGTCAAGTTGCAAAATTGAAACATTACTCGGCCGTCATCTCATTATATAACCAAATGGGTGCGTCCGGAATTGGACCTCATGTTTATACTCTAAACACTTTCATTAATTGTTATTGTCATCTAAACCAAATGGGGTTTAGTTTATCTGTATTGGGAAAATTCTTCAAACTGGGTCTTGAACCAAATGTCTTTACCTTCACCGGTCTAATCAACGGCTTTCTTCTCGAGAATCGAGTGGCGGAGGCAGCAGGAATTTTCAACAAAATGATGAGGGGAGGTAATTGTCAGCCTAATGTGGTTACTTATGGCACGCTAGTAAAGGGCTTTTGCATGAAGGGTAACAACAGTGCTGCTATTCAGTTGCTTAGGAAGATGGAGGAAGGAGCTTGCAAGCCTGACCTAGTTATCTATAACACAATCATCGACAGTCTTTGTAAGGATACACTAGTTGATGATGCATTGAACCTCTTATCAGAAATGATGAGCAAGGGTATTGCCCCAGATGTCATTACCTATAACTCTTTGATGAATGGAGTTTGCAAATTAGGCAAGTGGAGAGAAGCTGTAAGGTTGTTGAATGAAATGGTGAGTAAAAATATCTTTCCAAATGTGCGCACTTTCAATGTCTTGGTAGACACAATTTGTAAGGAGGGGATGGTCTTGGAAGCAGAAGGTGTGGTAGAAATGATGATTCAAAGAGGTATTGAACCTAATACCATTACATACACTTCACTTATGGATGGTTTCTGTTTGCGAGGAGAAATGAGCAAGGCTAGAAAAGTTTTTAAACTAATGCTTAGCAAGGGCTCGACGGTTGATGTTTTTAATTACAACACATTGATAAATGGATATTGTAAGCATAAGATGATGGATCAGGCCATGATGCTGCTTCGGGAAATGTCTCGTAAGGGACTGGTTCCAGATATCATTACTTATAACACACTTGTGGATGGTTGTTGCAAAGTGGGGAAATTAGGTGTTGCACAAAAGTTGTTCTCTGAGATGCAAGCTTGTGGCCAACTTCCAAATGTTCGAACTTATGCTATTCTACTGGATGGCTTGTGTAAAAACCGACAACTTTCTACAGCAATCCAACTGTTTAAAGAAATGGAAGGCCAGAAGTTGGATGCAGATATTGTGATTTACAGTATTCTTATTGAAGGTTTGTGCCTAGCTGGGAAAATTGAATCTGCGAGGGTTCTCTTTCATTGGTTATCATCAAAAGGACTCCAACCAAATGTGAGGACATATACCATAATGATTAATGGACTCTGTATTGGGGGCCTAACAAGTGAAGCAGAAAAGCTGCTTACTGAAATGGAAGAGAAAGGTTGTCCTCCAGATGATTGTACATATAACATAATTATTCGAGGGTTCATCAATAACAATGAGACAGTAAGGGTGACAGGACTTATTCAACAAATGGTGGAGAGGGGTTTCTCAGCAGATGCCTGGACTACAGAATTGATAGTTGATTTATTATCCAAAGGTAAAGTAGATCTCGCATTGTTGCCATTGAAGAAAAGAGAATTGTGAAGTTAACTGTCCTCTTTGAAAGTTGAAACAGATCATCTGATTATCATGGCAAACATTGAAATTGCAATTGGAAAGAATAATTGTCCATAAATTCCAGTTCGACTTAGCTCAACAGCCTGAAATCTTGCATAAGACTGTCGCAGTTGCAGTGACACAACAGGAGCAGCAATTGAAAGATATGGAGGAGGATATGCAGTCCTTTGTATCTACCAAGGCAGATGTGCTCTATACAACCTAATTATTTGGCATGCTTTGGAAGGCTACTGAAGAACTTTGAAGAAGACTGGGAAAGCTTAATAACATGTATGGTTCTAGTATTAAGGCTCTGGATGGCATACTTGGGGGACCTTAAAAGAAATTCTCAGTTAACTTTTTGTCATCTAAATTCATAAGTTTCTAGCGATTCTTCTGCTCTGGTAGATGGAATCATGGAAGTATTAGTTTACTGCTTTTTCAGTCTTCACGTTTCTTCTTGCTGTCTCTGTATTTGACTTTATTTCATTTGATTTCAAAGGAATCGCTTCAGAAGCTGATGCATTACTCTCAAAGTAGGCTCGTAATATATTGTTGCTTTCATGGTTACTTGTTTTATTGTGGGAGCAAAAATTAAGAACCAAGTAACAAAGCCCTAAATTTGAGGGAGTTGAGGCAATCAAATTACATGATATCCACTACCATAGAACATGGAGAAAAATAAGAGATATGGGATTTGGAGTCCTAGGGTTCATTACCTATAAGAGGCCAATTAATCATCCAGCAAAAAAAAGGGAGGTATAATTGATTCTACTGCAATATTCATGAACGAGTACTGACTTGAGCGTTGGAGTTTTTTCTTGCAAGTACCCCCTTCCTCCCTCATTGGCGGCAAGCGAAGGGTGTCCAGCTTCTCAACATGGAATACAAAATCACTTGTTAAAAGACCCAAAATATCATGCTTCAACATTTAGTTTCTTCAAGTGTAAAATTCAATCATGACTTTTTGGTGTAAAAAATTTGGTCTCCAATTTTGTATAGGCCCATGCTGGAGCCAATTTCTAAGTTACAGCAGACTTCTTCAACACTCTTGGCATGCATGCATTAAAGCCCATTTATTAAATTATATTTGTTCTAGAAAACAATGATACATAATATTAGAATAATTATATCTTAAATTCAAGTTTATTTCTTTTGTCTAATAATATACTAGCCTCTCTGCACGCGCTTCCGCGTTTGCAAGAGGCTTTTTTTTCTATATTTTAAATTTATTTTATAATTAAAAAAGATAATGGGTAATTGTGTTCCGTAGAAATAGGATCCATTATCTGATTTTTCTTTTAATTTTAATTTTTTTAATATGAAAAAGTGTGAATTTACTATATTGTCCTCATTTAATTAATAATTTCAATTCTTAATGTTTGCATTAACAAATGGCATTTTCTGACATTTTGAATGTTTCACAATTCTATGCCTTTTGCTTTATATATACTAGTATCTTTGCACGCGTTTCCGTGCCTGCAAGAGGCTTTTTTCTTTTTTTTTAATTTAAATTTATTTTAGAATTAAAAAAGATAATGGGTAGTTGTGTTCCATAAAAATAGGATTCATTATCTAATTTTTCTTTTAATTTTAATTTTTTAAATATGAAAAAGTGTGAATTTACCATATTATCCTCATTTAATTAATAACTTAAATTCTTAATGTTTGGATTAACCATGGACATTTTATGGTATTTTGAATGTTTCACCATTCTCTGCCTTTTGCTTTATATATATATATATATATATTAATATTTAATATTTTCTTCATATATAAAATAATAATTTTGATTTTCAAGTTTCAATTTTTGAAACCCAACCAATAATCTAGTTCTTTTTTATTTAAATAAATTCATTGGCCTCTTTTTTCAACAAATAATAAATCTTGTTAGTATATATATATATATATATATATATAATTGTAAAAAGAATTTAATAAAGTTGTAAAAAAAATGCAATACATAATTCAAATTTGGCGTGGGACCACATCGGCCCGTTTAGTGGCCTAGCATGAGGACAACTCGATCCCATATGGGCTTGGAATGTGGGCTCAGAACGAAATTGATGATTTTCATAAATGGACGAGTCCGGCATATCCCGTTTATAAAATAAACCGACTCTAGTTTTTTTAGTCGCTGGTGCTAAGTGAATAGGTTTTTTTCTTTTAATCAACTGCTATGCGAGTTTGGCAAAAGTGACATAAAGTGCATTAGCAATCATATTTAAGTAGATTTCTATTGTTCTAGAAAAAAAAACATATTGAAGTAGACGGAGTATTAGTAATTTTGAGCTGCACGTGTTTAAAGTGTTTCTTTTTTTTTAGTGTTTTTCTAATGTATTATTTGTCAAGGGAGGAATTGGAATTTTGCGTCCATGTATACTATATAATATATATAGGTTTTTTTTTCTTTTCTTTTAATCACATAGTATTCAAGTTCTAATATTTCTTATTGAAGGTACAAAATTGTGTATATCAAAAGTATAGGTCTCACTCATATCTAGAAGAAAAATAATAATAATAATAATAAGAACAATAGTTTATGTTAGACACAAAAATAAAAACAAATTGATTATGGTCTACCTTGCCTTTTATATAAATAGATTATGGTCTTTTAGCACTTCAGTTTATTAAGAGTATTTTACGAGTTTCAAAAAGTTTCCCAAAAAGTGGCTTCCTGCCTTTTTTTTTACAATTTTATTTTTCATGGAAGCTAATTTACTTTTGCATGTGCAAGGAGTTTATTTTTTATTGTATTGGTTTGGTTAGGTGTCAAAAAGTGCATTAGCAAACCTTTTGAAGCTACGAATGGGGTATCAGTTGGTACATGCCTTTTAGTGTGCTCTCAAGTAGTCCTGGGTTCAAGCCTTCATGGTATTTGTGTGTGTGAGTTTCCTCCTTCTCCCTTCCTAACTTCAAAATAAAAATGAAAAAAAAAAAAAAAAAAAAAAAAAAAACCACCCACCCCCCCCAAGTGAAAGAGTAGTTTTTTACCGACCACGTAAAGTGTCTTGAAGGGGAGAAAAACTTCCCTGGCATGGGGATGCCAGGGTCAGCCATCCACATTAGTATCCCCAACCAATTAAATCTTGACAGCTATCAAACACGTTTGACACTTCTAAATTTTTCATTCTGAATGGAAGGAATAGTTGCCCCACGTTTCACACTTATATTTGCTTTGGTGATTATGTCATTTTTGGCTATGACGCAACACATTGTCGTTCAGGGTTTACATATGTCGTTCTCCTGAGGAGTCCCAATGCCATCCGGAAAATTGTGAAGCTTCATGTAAGGATGAACTCATGGATGATTTCATGAGGTTTGAATGCGTGCCTATTGGTGAAGCAACTGTTTGTGTGTGTTTGAGCAAAAATTACTAGTAATTAAACACATTTACTTATGACTGCTTATTTGTTATGCATTTCAAGCATACATATCATTATATCTTAGTTTGTAGTGGCTCTTTCTTTCAATCAAACCTCCCCAAATTGTACTCGTTCATTAAATATAATAGAAGTGACCACCACTATCTTGACAAAACTGAAATTAAACTGTAACATTACTAATTGAAAAACTGAAATTAAACTGTAAATACGGTAATTATCAAAAGAGAAAAGAAATACGGAAATTAGAAAACTGAACACTGAAGAAAATTTAGAAAAGAACTAACTGATATATTCAATAAAGAAAAAAAGAAAGAAGGGGGCATGGTAAAAGTTTGCTTGTAAACTAGGGATTCTCCTATTTATATTCAATAACTGTTAAAATAAATCTTAACACTAAACGATGAGGTACGGAACTTTTTATCCAAGTTTATAAAAGTGAAAGTTTTTGTGGAATTCATGATAACACGGACTTGAGCTTTCTCGAGGAAACCAGTTGGAGGGAGGTTTGAGCGCCCTTTTACTCAGAGATGCTGAAGATGATGATACGGACTACAACTGCTGCTACTTCTTCTTCTTGTTATTGCTGGAGCAGCAGAGGTATGAATTGTCTTCACTCTAACTCCACTTTTCTCGTTTTCGTCAACAATTACTTTGCTTTCTTTCACTCTCAACCTTCGAAACTGATCAAATCTACAAGAACCCAACTAGAGCAGCCAAAAAGAGACTTACCCAAAATCACAAATGTTGAGGATGCCTTCAATGTGTTCGATAGAATGCTTCAAATGCGCCCTCTGCCTTCTGTTGTCCGTTTCACTAAAATCTTGGGTCAAGTTGCAAAATTGAAACATTACTCAGCCGTCATCTCATTGTATAACCAAATGGGTGTGTCGAGAATTGGACATGATGTTTGTACCCTAACCATTCTCATAAATTCTTATTGTCATCTAAACCAAATGGGGTTTAGTTTATCTATATTGGGAAAATTCTTCAAACTTGGTCTTGAACCAGATGTCTTTACCTTCAACACTCTAATAAACGGCTTTCTTCGCGAGAATAGAGTGGCGGAGGCAGCAGGAATTTTCAACAAAATCATTGTGGTAGGTAATTGTCAGCCTAATGTGGTTACTTATGGCACACTAGTAAAGGGCTTTTGCATGAAAGGTAACAATAGGGCTGCTATTCAGTTGCTTAGGAAGATGGAGGAAGGAGCTTGCAAGCCTGACCTAGTTGTCTATAACACAATCATCGACAGTCTTTGTAAGGATACACTAGTTGATGATGCATTGAACCTCTTCTCAGAAATGATGTGCAAGGGTATTGCCCCAGATGTCATTACCTATAACTCTTTGATTCATGGAGTTTGCAAATTAGGCGAGTGGAAAGAAGCTGCAAGGTTGTTGAATGAAATGGTGAGTAAAAATATCTATCCAAATGTTCGCACGTTTAGTGTCTTGATAGACACACTTTGTAAGGAGGGGATGGTTGGGGAAGCAGATGGCGTGGTTGAAATGATGATTGAAAGAGGTATTGAACCTGATACGGTTACGTACAGTTCACTCATGGATGGTTACTGTTTGCGAGGAGAAATGAGCAAGGCTAGAAAAGTTTTTAAACTAATTCTTAGCAAGGGCTCAATGGTTAATGTTGTTAGTTACAACACATTGATAAATGGATATTGTAAGCATAAGATGATGGATGAGGCCATGATGCTGCTTCGGGAAATGTCTCGTAAGGGACTGGTTCCAGATATCGTTACTTATAACACACTTGTGGATGGTTGTTGCAAAGTGGGGAAATTAGGTGTTGCACAAAAGTTGTTCTCTGAGATGCAAGCTTGTGGCCAACTTCCAAATGTTCGAACTTATGCTATTCTACTGGATGGCCTGTGTAAAAACCAACAACTTTCTACAGCAATCCAACTGTTTAAAGAAATGGAAGGCAAGAAGTTGGATGCAGATATTGTGATTTACAGTATTCTTATTGAAGGTTTGTGCATAGCTGAAAAAATTGAATCCGCAAGGGAACTCTTTTGTGGTTTATCATCAAGAGGGCTTCAACCAGATGTAAGGACATATACCATAATGATTAATGGACTCTGTATTGGGGGGCCGAACAAGTGAAGCAGAAAAGATGCTTACTGAAATGGAAGAGAAAGGTTGTCCTCCAAATGATTGTACGTATAACATAATTATTCGAGGGTTTATCAATAACAATGAGACAGTAAGGGTGACAGGACTTATTCAACAAATGGTGGAGAAGGGTTTCTCAGCAGATGCATGGACTACAGAATTGATAGTTGAACTATTGGGTAAAGATAAAGTAGATCCTGCATTGTTGCCATTGATGCAAAAAGAGAATTATGAACTGAATTTGCCTCAGTTAAAGTTGAACAGATCTTCTGACCATCCCAATAAACATTGAAGCTCTTCCACCTCTGACAACCGTGGATGTGTTATATCTGTTATCTCTTAATCCATCATGTGACAATGTTGAGTAATAGATATAACTTTACCGATAATCGTAACATCTTTGAAACAATTTGCTTGTGTTTTTGTACGCAGGTCTTTTTTAGTTTCTTTCACACAAACATTGTGCAATTGACTGACTCTGCATGTTTTTGTTATTTTGCGGTATACAGACTTGGTTATATAAAGACATCATTGGGGGATATCCTGTGATCATGATAGAGAAATTTCTATGTTACTCTTTTAAGGTTGTTAAATTTATTAGAGAGAAGGAGGGTATTTGGACTGATATAATCAGATTTTTCAGCTGACCAAGACTTTGCAGTTTCGGCAAAAACCAACCAGCCTTTGATTAAGGGGCATTCTACAACTTCTTTTCAATTTTTTTGATTTGTAATAATTTTGTGAAGGACATGGTGAAATTTGCTAACCCTTGATTGGGTCTGAATGCTCGTTTGTGAGTGATTTAAGATGGGGCCAAATCATTTATGGGTAGAAGCACTTCAAACGTGCTTATTAAAGTGATTATACGGAGAAATGATTTTCCATAGAAGTGATTATTGACCCACCCATAATCACAACCAAAACGCGCCCTTTGGTCCTTTGGTGGTGAAGCGAACTTACATTGTGTTTCATTTTGAGTCTAGCTTTTCTGGTCAGGAGCCTCTGAAGTTGAGACTTGGTTTAATTGATTTGACTACGGTTCTTTTATTCATCGGTCAATCAAATTTTTAGATGAAGCCAAATTTTAACCAAAGCTTCTATTAGCCAAAAAGCAAAGAATGGTTGGGAAACCTTGGAAATGGACACAAATATTGTTGATGGGCCAGGACATGGTTTTTGTCATCATGGAATTATTCATTTGGCCGTTAATAAATACGAGGTTCTCTAATGAAGAGAGTTTTTGGTCATTTTGCAAAACGAAAAGAAACCAAAGAAACCCCATGGATATATTATGCCTGCAATCTGAACCATATGCATAAACAACCCAAATATTGGATCGATGTACATAATGAACTACTTTTCTTTTTCCTTTTTGTAGCATAATCTACATATAAAGACCCAAAAAAATTATTTATGGAAGGCAGAACTACATATAGATATCCACCTGTATCAACCCCATGATAAGCCTCAAACAAGACTAAATTTCTATTCTACATTTCCTGATAGAATCAATATATATATATATATATATATATATATGCAAAAATACTGCACCTTCAATGTATAACACACTCCTTGACTTGGAACGACAAGGCGATCTGATGCCTGCAAAACATATCAATTTTCTACTCTGTCAGAAACCCACAGGACGGATGCCAAAGTACGGCAAATGTATACATGAAACCTCGGAATATATTATATTTTAACATTTCAAGGTTAAAGGGTGCCAGTTTCGGTATTTTAAGTTATCACCCTCATGCTTCTTGACTGAAAGGCTTTGAATTTAAACTATCTAATGTAATCCTTCCATCTATAAAAAAGATGTACATTTTCGTTTTTTCCCCTCAATATAGAGCATATCACTTGATAACATGGAAAGACAAAAGTCAAAAGAAATTAGGGTTACATCTTCTATTGATGTAACTGTTAAACTCAAGATCCCTATTTCAGATTACTTCTTACAAAGGAGAAAAGACATCTTTATATGACAATGAACTTTCAACTTATATTGCATAACATACTTTTATCATATTTTAAATATATAAAAAAACCATAAAGACGTGCGAAAAAATTAATAATACAGGAGAAGGGACGGAAAGGGTGAACGCTAAAATCAATCGAACCCAAAATAGGTGGGGAAAAAAACATGACTAGAAGTGCACCATTAGCTGATTTTTACAATGCTACTACCAGGAAGCCACAGTTCCATTATATGTCATGTGATCTGACATAAGTATGCAAGAATATGAAAAATAAACAATTCAATTTAAAAGCGTAAATTTCCAACACCAAAACACAAAGGAGAGCAACTGCATATCGGAGAGTGAATAATGCTATTGAAAACTACCTGAAGAAAACCTCATAGTAAGCTTGCACTCAAGAGCCCAACTGTCCTTTCTCTCCCAAACGTTTCATCATCAAAATCTTCATTCGTGGAATTTTCCTGACATAGCAATTTGTTTTCTCGCATTGGATTTAAGCCCAGACCCTCCTCCCAAAGAATTGGATCATCTTGGTGCATTTCATCTTGTTCAGACCCATGATTGGTATCAACATTATCCTCCACATCTTGTCTCACATCATCCAAACATGATGATGGCTCGACATTGAGATCAGAGCACAAATCATACCCAGCTTGTTCCCCAGTCCCATGATAAGCCACTGTTACTGCTCCTTGGTCAGGTTGCTCGGCAGAATCCTTTTTCTGCCTCTTCCATTTCTTTGTAGATGAAGTACCGTCATCCTCAAAATCTTCTTCTTCTCTTTCTCTATGCAAATATACCCATAATTTTCTTTCCCCATCAAATTGCACACAAGGATCACGCTCATAATGCAAACGGTCCAGGGCTCCACTAACAACTTGATTAACTTGTGCATCAGACACGTCTTCAACAATGTACTGAGAATCTCTTATCAAAGTACAAACATCTGCTCTGGTGCCAATACTTCCAGGCAATCTTGCAGCTGCATCTCTCACAAGACAAAGAATTGTAACATGTGGCGGTCGATCACGTTTCAGCATAAAGTGATCTCGAGCTTTTGATGTTGGCTTACCACCACACCTTCTTAATGGGGCAACAATGGATTTTTTACCATCAGCTGCTGTGTAAGAGAAGGCCCTGTCTGGAATTGAATACCTGAGAACTTCCTCCTTACGGAAATAAGATCTCACTTCTTCCGAACTTGGGTTAATGGTGTTAAGACTCTTTTGAGCTCTTAGATCCCTGAACCGTTCTTTCTCATCCAGGTTGAGCTGCATCAACTCCAAGGGCGGTTCCGGAAGAATTCCGATTTGTTGAAGGGTCTCTTGCCCACATTTGAGCCAATTAGCAAACGAATCAACCAACTTGACAAGCATTTTGTGAGGAAGACCCCACGCTTCAGGAGATGTCACCTCATCACTGGTGTCATGATCTGATGAACCATGAGAAACTGGACCAGTCCATGACCAGCTTTTTGTAGCTTTTTCATACGCGGCCAGTGTCTTCCAACCCTTTGCTCCTAAAGGTGCTGTTTTTGAAGAAAATATCTTTAGAACTCCTCTCACCAGATCCTGAAGTGGCTCTTGTGTCTCAAGAATACAAGGATCTCCCGGATTCGATCTAACACGATTCACAATCTCCTGAACTGTTAGAGAAGGCATATTCACTTCTCCAGCAAGCTCTGAGTTATTGGCATCCACCTTTTGACGAGAAAGAACCCCATTTACACAACCCTCACGATTTTTGTTATGCTCATCTATAGGTCCCCCAACATCAAAAGCATCTTCTGAAAGCGGAGTTATCATTGCCAAGCGAACAGCTGAAAGAAGATGTACAATCGAGAATGAGAAGCCAGTATGAACAGTAGGTGTAATTGGAATAAATGGTTTTTTCTGGGGCTTGGTTTCCGGCTCCATATCTGTTGCTCCCATTTCCGTAATTGGTGGATCAGAAATTTCTACATCTGAGCTGATATTGTCATTCTCCACCTTCCTCTTTGCCTTTTTTTTCAAGGAATTGGAATCAACACTACGTTGCAAATGGTTAGACTGTAAGTCACCATCGTCATCTCCTCTACCAGTGTCTGAATCCTCCTTACCTTTCCGCTTCTTTGTCATCAAATTGCACCCTAATAGTGGGACTTCAATTCGTTCATGGCGATCACTCACATATGCTTCAGTGTTCTGACCTTTCTTCCTGAATCTACCATGTCCACTACCATTAGCTAGCGATCGCACTTCAAGTGAGTCATCCTCTTCATCAACAAAGTAACGAGACTGTGGTACAGAATGATCATGGCCAACTTCTCTTTTCTGCTTTCCCGTAGTAGGGTAGGTCTTCCATGAAGGTATGTGCAACCTTTCACCAGCTTCCCCTTCAAATTGGGCATTCTTGCCCAATTTGTAGATTTGTTTCTGTTCATCATAATCATCATCCTCATCATGAAATTTACCCAAGCCCGAGACATAGCGTTCTTCCAAAACTCTGGTCGAAGAGTTATGCATGGGACTATTGTCTCGCATCTTACCCTTTTGTTTTGCTTTGGCAGAATAGTTTTCTAGACTACGCATATGTCCATGTTCAACAAAACCACCCATCTTGTTGGAGGGGTAATTGATCCCATCAAGGGCCCGTAAACTATCTTTCGCCTCTTTCTTCACATATTTGCCCCTTTTTGCATCTAGAGCAGGCTTCAACAAAGAAGATGGTGAAGCCTCCATAACACCACTGGGATAAGCCAGCTTACTCCTCAACAAAGGGTTGCTATCCTCATCATCTTCAAATTGCTCTGATGAGTCTGATTCTGTATCTTCATTTTTAACAAACACTCTATTACTTTTCACTGCCGCCATGTCTGATCCTCCATTTTGTACTCTATTCCCTCTTATCTTCTCTTGAAATGGTTTTGATCTAAATTCAGAAGATAAAAATCTATCATTCATCTGTGGTGGGGAAGCTCTATATGATTTGTAATTTAAATCAGGAGACTCCCTCCCAATCTTCCATTTCTTGCTCCTAACATTCCGGTCATCCGCTCTTAAGGGCGAATCCATAGGAAAAGTCTCCCCTTCAGTCCTGTTATGCCAGAATAGTTCTGCGCGATCTGACGAGTCAGCTCGATCTCCTCTTAGCGGTGGTTGTGGAAGTCTGCTTTTCAAGGACTTCATCTGATCCCCAACTGTAAATTGCTGAACATTTTCTGGATACTTGGCCTTTTTACCAAAATCATAGGGGGTCCTCAAGTTAGGAGGCTTTGCTGTTATTACCTTTGACTCTGACAAAAGGTTTGCATTGCGGTTCCTACCATAGGCATGTACATCAGTCTTTGAGGAGACAGGCACACCCAGCAAGGTGTCAGTGATTAATTCATCACCTCTTAATAGGTCCAGCTTCTTTCCCACTTTGAAAACACCAGACTTGTCCATCAAGCTACTACGAGACAAGCTTCTATCTCGCTGGACACCAATTCCATATGTTGTGTCTTCAACATCATCACCACTTATCAACTGATCCCTCATTCTGAGTGTTGCCCTGGAATCATATCCTCCGGCCTTAAGCTGCTGAGGAGGAGCGACTGCTGAACTGTATGGTCCAGAATGGCTTGCTAGCTCTTTTGCTGAAGAAGTCTTCGACCCAGCCATCTTCAGTATACCTTTTGGATTCTGCTTCCCATATTTTGCCAGTTCCATAGCTGATGACCGCCCTCTTGATGCAAAATCCACATTTGTACCCACCCCGTATGGAGAATAACGAGCGATTTTCTGTGCAACTTTCCTGTCCTTGATCTTGTTGATCTGTAAGCCTTCACCCGACTCCCTTTCTGAGGAGTCAGTCTCCATATCTTCCATCTTCTCACCCATCAAACTCTTCTGGATTCTCATAATATTCAACACCCGGAGCCTCTCCTCAATACTATATCCCTTGCAATTAAGCCAAGCATCCCTTATCTGACAGAGATTACTAACCATATTATTCTGATGCTTCCTCAAAATATTGTAGTGTTGCCGCTTCTGAAAGAAATTCAAACCCTCCCGGTAAAGAGCAACTCTCGGCTCGCACAAACCTCCCTTCAACATATCAAACAACTTCTTAACAGGGCTCCCAAAATGGAAGTTACAACCTGTAAAAAGCTCTTTCAAGGTAATCATAAAGGTCTCCTGGTCCAAATCAGGCAGATACTTAGTGAGGCCAAACTGCTCCTCCTCACTCAAGCACTCATTCCATACATCCACTGACAATATATCTTCAAGACTTGGAATATCATACAACTCAAAAGGAATGCTGCAAGTCTGACTCCCAACTTGGCAAAACTCCACACCAGTTTCCCCCAATTCCAACAAATCAAAGTCATCAGACCCCGCCCCAGAGTCCGCATCATCAAATTCATCATCATCATCAGATTCAGCAGCAGAGCTACGCTGTTGTAGCTCATCCTCGTCACTAGACATACTCTTCCTACTACCGGGAGAAAACTCTGAATCAAACCTCGAAACCTTGAAGTTGTTCTTCTCAATCGCCATGAATTCTAACAACCAAAACCCAACCCGCCAAAAGCAAACAGATTCACAAATTTTACACTAGAACCACCTCCAAATTCACCGAATCCCCAAATTTCAAACCATCACCGAATAAAAAACCCTAATTCAAACAACAAAAAACGAAAACCTCAAAATTTGTGGCTACCAAAACGAAAAAATATAAAAATCGAAGCAAAAGCAACGAGATTCACAAACGAAACTAAAACTTAACCTAATATAAACAAAATTACAAGGACTGAGATTTGAACGAAGAATAGTAGAATACCTGGAACAAGCTCAATGGCGAAATTGACCAGCCGAGCACGAAGTCTGAGACATGAAGGGCTCGAGAATTTGAAGGTTCGTAAAGCGAGCGAGGGAGAGAGGAAAGAGAGATTGTGTTTGGGTGAAGATGAGAGAAACCCTAAGGCTAGAGGTAAAAGACGAAGCGGTTATTTTATGTAAATATATAATAAAATTATTATAGATGTATGTGTGTGTGTAGGAGAGGTCGCAGTGGGGATGAAGAAGACGATGGTGACGTGGAGGAAAGTGCGCCGTCTGATTTTGCGAGGAGGAAGATGGAGAGCGAAAAGACGAAAAGGGGCACCGAGCGGGAAAGAGAAAAGCGTAAGCGTGTGTGTGCAGCGCAGAGGTAGAGAAAAGAAAGAGAAGAGGAAGGAAAGCAACAGCAGCCAACAGAGGGAGAGCGAGTTCACTCAGTGAGTCAAGTAACCGTTGCGACTTGCGAGTCATGGTCTTCTTTCATGCCTGGCTTGAGGGGCGGGCCCAAGTTTTGTAAATTCCCGGCCGGGCCGGTTTTATTGCATCCGTGACCCACTTGCCTCTTACGACGTCGTCTGGTTATCTTTTTTTCCTTTTTAATTTGAAGATGGATAAACTCATAAAACTGCATGCATTGCCGTTGTAAGGACATGTTTACGTATCAGTAATGGGTATGAGAGGAAAGGGAATGATTTTCATTCATGACTTCTCCTACATTTACTTGCAATCATGAATTAAAAAATAAGTGGGCCCCACCTCAAAATCTGTAATCACATCCCCTCAAAACTAAGTATCAGATCAACTAGGGGGAGTAGTCGATACGATTCTCATTCCTGTTCTCTTATTAACTTCAAAAAAATACCCTTACTTTACTATAATTCCAAAACACCCCAAACCGTAAATAAATAAATAAACTCATGCGAAGAAGTTTCGAGACACTTCAACTTCTTTTTCACGTTAGCGTTGCAGACACAACCTCCCAGAAGCAGTAGCAACTCCTTGTGCTATGTAAGTCATTTTATCTATATATATATATATATCTCTCTCTCTATCTATCTATCTATCTATCTATCTATCTATCTATCTATCTTCTTCTTCTTCTTCTTTTTCTTCTTCTTTTTTTCATTTGAAATTGGCTCTGGACAAAGGTGTTATTAACATTATCATTGAACTGGGCTCTTGATGTTCATCTTTTCAGCATATTGATTCCTCATGTTTACACCGCCTTACTGGGTTGCTGCATGATTAGTTTGGTCTCCTGAGCCAATTTGAGAATTATATATGTGTTGTGGTGAAAATGTGCAAGGCATTTTAGTAATCAAATTAATTTGGATTCTAATTCATGAAAATTAGTAAACAATAACAATGAGAATCAACCTCATTCCTTTGCTAATTCCATATGTTTAGTAAATAGTTTAATGGAAGTGATTCTTCCCATACCAATTCAGTAGTTCCCTGATTCCTAAATTCTCTGATTCTTTATTTTCTTCATTACTGATACGTAAACATACCCTAAATGTGAACCCCGCGTGGTAACATCATTAACGAGCGGCACACTTATACATTAGGGAGTTTTACTATTGAATAATACTAGTCTTACCACATTTTTATACCACAATTTCGTACCACATAATGTGGCAATTGATGTGTACAAACCACATCATGTAAAATACTAGTTTCTGTTTTTCTAATTTTATTCATTAAAATACACTTCATTCATTTAATTGATGTGGTATATGATATGGGTATGCTACATCATGTGGTATAGAAATGTGGTAAGTGTAGCATTACTCAATTAATTTACTACATAAGAAATGAGTATTGAAGTTCCAATAAATTACGTGATTGTCATTGATTAACTTTAAAAAAGTTCACCACAAAAAACTCAAAAAACCCAAAACAAGCCTAGCTCAATTTTTATTTTTTTTTAAACCCAAACATTTTATTTTAAAAAAATTCTCGAAAACCAAGCAGGACCTCTTCATAGAAGTATATTGTTAATATTATATTATAGAAGTACAGTGTTAATACTATGTTATAGAAGTACATTGTTAATACTATGCCATAAAACTATATTGTTAATACTACTATGTCATAGAAGTATATTATTATTAATACTCTGTCATTGAACTACCCCAAACATAATTTCGGCCTCTTCAAAAGCAAAAGAAGCCACGACTTCCTCATCCATCTTTTAACTAAAAAAATGTAGGGAAATTACCTAATTACATGTGAGGAGAAAGGTCAATGGAGGCATGCAATTATGATATTGTAGTAATCTGCTCATCATCCAAACATAATTAGCCTCTTCAGTCTTCGAATAAATGGGAGCCCTTATCCAATTATGGCGTTGTTATATGCTCTTTCAATCTTTATCAGCACAAATGGTTTGTCAATACAGGAGCGAGATACTGAAGCCAAGCCTCTTATTTGAAATAAAAATAAAACTACAATTACTTTGTTCATTTGGTTTCAGTAAATGAGCATTACATATTATATTGTAAATCCTATTAGAACTAACACAAATAAGCAAGCAAGCAATCTTCTTCTTTTTTTTCTTTTCTTTTTTTATTAATTTATTTATTACAATTTGTAAATGAAATGCAAAACTAAGGAAAAAAACCAAAGACATGTTCCAATTAATCACAAAATAGCAAAGAAACTGCTCAATGAGCTTTGAATTTCGGCGATAATCAAACTGGATCATACCAATATGATTCGGCTGACCTTGAAATGGTCTCTTCGTCCTTCTTAAGCTCGTCTTTGTGAGTCTTCTCTCAAATCTGATGTAGAATGTGGCCATGAGCGTATGAATGAAATTACGACTCAGAAGCAGTGAGCGTGGATAAGGTATCTCCTTCAACCTTTCCTGCTCGTGAATCGAATGAAAACATGAGAAAATACGCCGTTGAGACCACTTGTGATGAAATTGAGGATTGAAAATTCTAAATGGAGAAGAGAAATTGAAAGTGAAAGGAGCGAAGAGGAAGACGATGAACCTACATCTTGGAAGAAGAGTCGATAAGAGCATTGGCTAGAGCACCGAAAGGATTGGCGGAAGAAGTTGAGCCTGGAATTGCACAAGTTGCTCCACCAATCATGAGCTCACGCATCATCATGGTTGATGTCCTTCTTCTTCTAATTCCTCTTCAATCTACAACATATTGTTATTAAATAAAAAGATAAAAAATATAGTCGTAGTTATATTTTTAAAATATATTAATATTTAAAGAATATAGTCGCTATACTAATACGAGAATGGTAGATATCATATGTGGATCAATCAGAGATGGGTCTAAGATTTTAAAATAGGTGGGTTAAATTTACCTTATATACGCACTAGAGAATGGAACATAAAGGTACAGCTACTGCAGCGTACCAATTTGTTCTTTTATTTATTTAAATTTTTTTCTTCAGGTTTTTAGGTCTAATAGTCCTCGAACTTTGACCCGATTCGCATTTTGGTCCCTCAATTTCCAAAATCGTTTCTATGGTCCTTCAACTTCAGTTTCATTATGATAAATGGTCATATCGTCAATTTTTTTTATCTTTTCTGTTAAATGCAGGGGTAAAATGGTATTTTTGTATTACAAATAAATATATATATATCTCTCTCTCTATCCAGATTTCTTCTTCCCCCAACACAGATTTTTCCTCTCCCTCTATCAAGAACAAGGAAGCTTACCTGCATACTCAAGATTCAGATGAGAGGAAGAGAGAGCAAAGAGGGCAACCCACAACCGTCCTTCACCCAGTGCCCCCTCCCATTCGATTTTTTTTCCCCCATGACCATCGGCCTCCAACCTCCAACGAACTCAGAATCTAAAACCCCAACCCAGATTCCTTCCTCCTCGATACCCTATTTTATGGATTTCGGAACCTGAATTCTACTATTCTTCCTTGACCTTTGTACAAAAATCGAAGAGGGGCGCTAGTGGAGGTTGGTTGTGGGGGAAGAAATCATGATAGAGGGAGGGAGGGAGGGAGGGAGGGAGGGAGAGAGAGAGAGAGAGAGAGAGAGAGAGAGAGAGAGAGAGATTTATTTTTGTTTTTTTTAATACAAAAGACCTTTTTTTTTAAATACAAAAATACCATTTTGCCACTATACTTAACAAAAAAAGTTAACAAAATTGACGACATGACCATTTGTCCTAACGAAACTGAAGTTGAAGGACCACGGGAACTATTTTGGAAATTTAGGGACCAAAATGCGAATCGGGTCAAAATTCAGGGACCATTAGACCTAAAAACCCATTTTTTGCACTTAAAGAAAACTAGTAATAGACTATTCATTTCGATTTTAAAAAAAAAGAAGAAAAAAAAAGGGATGTGTTTTCTCCACTTACACTCCATTTTGCTTTTAATCAATTTTATTCTTTCTTTTTCCTATTCTACCCTTACCCTACATTGATTTTTTTTTTACTTCACTTTTATATTAGTTCTTTTTCTTTACACTTAATTTTCCAACTTGCACTCTATTTTTAGTTTTTTTTTTCCTTTAATCGAGTAAGAAATTAAGTATTTTTTCCCCTTTTAATACTGAAAATGGAGTGTAAGTTGAAAAATTAAGTGTAAAGAAAAAGAAATAATATAAAGTGAAGTAAAAATGAAATTAATGTAGGGTAAGGATAGAATAGGAAAGAGAAAGAACAAAATTGATTAAAAAGTATTAAAAAGCAAAAGGGAGTGTAAGTGGAGAAAAAGGGAGTGGGGAAATCAGATCCCCAAAAAAAAACAATAGACTATTCATATAAAAAATTCTATAAATATAATAAAAAGAAGTTGGCATTAGGCTACAAAAATAATAACAAGACGGAAATACTTTTCATTTTTAGAGTGAACTTTACAAAGATGTCCTACACAAGAATGTCCTGGAATAGTAAAAAGGAATTCAATTTATTAGTTTGTCTCATCTTCTTTTGCTTGAGTGTGTTGTTGGATAAGCAATGAACCTTGAGTCTTTGGATGTGAGCGTGGCATGATTGTCATTAGTAGGCATGGGTGGGCTAAATTAAATTTTAGGCAGATAAAATAACAACTCACCTGAGCTATAAGCAAAACAAAGATATCACTTAACCAATAGTTCTTCCCTAACACCCTCAGCATAACCAACTTTACACAGCAAGAATCCAAATTTTGGAGGATTCCAATATTTAAAGTACGCATCATGTGATTATGCATGGAGATTAGTAAGACCATAAATTATGGTTGAGACATACCAAACTTCAAACCCATATTCCTCAAACATAACCCCTAAAATACTTAAACCTTTATCATTGTGACTAAGTAGGAAAAAGGTTTCATCTCATATTGCCTTGTGTGTTTAACAAAAACTGATGGCTTTCATACTCCTGTCTGTCTATCCAAACTCGCGAATTAATAGTGACATATGATAGGCAACTGAGAAACAGTTGATACAAATATGAATATGAGGGCTTCTG